CAGGAAGAGTCCAATAATTATCGAAGAGTATAGTTTTGATTCACTCATAATTAACTATGTAATGATAAGCTAATAAATAAGTTCAACTTTGAAAATAATAACCATGACAGTGAAACCTCTAAATGATTAGACAACATGCGATTAGTGTAAACTCAATCATACAAATTGGCTATAAATCTATTATCATCAACATCTTTAACTAAATGAGATAATGTAATACACATAATTATATAATTATCACCAAGCACTGCGTAGCATTAAATACACATACTTTCTCTACCAACAAAAACAAACATCCTTACCACATACCGGCAATTCTGCAAATTCCAATAGTATAACCAAATAACTTCCAAAGAATGAATGCAGATTTTTTCTAAATTAGTTTTATTGGACATAACCAAATAGAAGCCAATCTATATGTCCCCCACAAAAAAATATTATTAAATGACTAATATATACTCTAACTTCCACACTTATCATGGATTATGAATCGAAGTAATATCCCATCTAGTCATCTAGAGTACTCATATCCAATATAATTGATACTTTGATCAGAACAGGCCCTCCGTTGTGTTTCGTTTACAGTCTGGCGATCAAGGCTCGTGCTACTATCGACATTCCTTGGCATCTGCATTTTGTCAATAGCCATATTTAGCATCAAAAACTAGCAGATCATGTGACTGTACAGGGGGCATTTCTCCACAAGTTTTCCTTTTAAAAATCAAACCAAACTACTTTAATGGAATGGTTCTTGATTCAAACCATTTGATAATGCCAAACCGAATCCATTTGATAATAAACCAGTTTGATAAACTGGTTCAGAACCAAATCTGAAATAAACCAGTTTTGAACTGGTTTTTTTTTTTTTTTTTAAATCTGATTTTTAAACCACTTATTACAAACCATGAACACCTCAAATTACTTCACTTACTTCTTCAAAGACCGAGTAGATTTAAGAAAATCAATTCCTGCATATTCTTGATTTCACAGTATGGCGACACTGTCTCAACAGAAATACCCTTAACATCAAGGTTCTCAGTCGTCTTCGGAGAGCGCCAGTTTATGCCTGCCACAGAATCAATGATGGGTAATATTCATGGGCTTTGAATGCAATTTTAGCATTCAATGGCCACAATCCAATATCAAGTGAAATTTTATGCAAGTTAACTAACAAGGAAATAGATATTCAAACACGCCAATATCCTCTACAGAAACACGTAGTTATTCTTTATATAAACACATCACTTATATCAGTTATTTGTTTATTTTCTTTGCCTTTTTCTTTATTTTCTTTATTATCAAAACAACAGAACCAATGATGTAAAAACACAGAGCTTTCTCAAAGTATATTCATCCTTTTCATCTCGAGGAAATTGCAATTAGAACTGTATAAATTTACTTGGGGTTCTATTTTTGGAAAGGCAAAGCCTAAAATTATTAGACACATGTAAGCAACTTCAAATAGGTTGACAAACATAATAGAGCTCGAAAAGGTGGATTTACCATGTACATTTTTCAAATAATAGAAGCTTAATGCAATCATCCATACTACTACCAGTAAATGAATGGGTGACTCCAGCAGCGAACCTGACGTACAAAGTAGAAATGGTTAGTCCAATTTATATCCTGAAGTGATTATCATCAAACACAAGCAATAAAACAAATGCACTTATATTTAAATAATAATGTTATGGCCTCATATATTAAGCTAATGAATAAGGGTAAATGAGATAAAAATTTCAAGGTTATTTATTTCTTATTTGCTAGTAATTTTTGTATCATATGTGTTGTTGAGGCCTCGACATAATTTTTCTAACCATTCAAATGATAGATAAGTTTGAAAATAATCATTAGTATCTCCAAACAAACCCCCTTTGAACTTGATGGATATTAAACCCTTTATATCTGTTTTTCCCTTAATTCCTGAAGTTGAAAACGAAATAACAGCCAAGGGTGGCAATAATACTGTCTAATCCTTATAATTATATTCATTTCCCAATAAAAATCCACACCTGTCCAGGCTGTCCTTATTTTTGTCCACTATTTCTCAGAAATGCAGCAGCTGCTCGCATATGCAAAAGACATAGGCAGTTTTGTGATACATGCTAACTCAAATTGCTTCTCGAAATACCTTGCTTTCACAGGAAAAAAAAATGATTAATCGAATATTTTAATATATTACAGAAAACAGTAAAAAAAAGAGAAAAGGAGCTAATATGACACACACAAATCTAAACAAAGGTTATGGTGAGACTGCATACTTCTTTTGAATCATTGCTGGAGAAATATGAAGCCTGTCATAACTCCAACCCACATTCTCCAATTGCAACCACCTTGCATATGAAGAAAAGTAAGAATAGTGTCAAATTATTTCTAAATGGTTACTAAGAATAACATAATTATTTCAAAATGTTTACTTGGGTAGTTTCTGAACTAGAACACAAGTTCTGCTGCAGATTACAAGCAGAATTCTCCAGCTACCAATAATCCTTACAAGAGCAGCTTCCATTTTTGAAATGATGGAAACGTATTCTGTCTCTCACAATGATATCTCTTTGGAATATCTTAGATATTAGTTTCATAAACTCATGACAGTCCTCACAAGACCTTAGGTTCTTCACAATCCGGATTGTAGACCCTTCACTTGTCCTAATTAGTCCATAAGAAAGAGCAAGCTTCTCACTATGGTGAAGCAACTGAACGGCTTTTTCCTCATCATTCATCTCAAGCATGACCTCCGAAACTCTAGGATCATACCCTTCATTTCTCAGCTTACCCACCACCTGATCCAATTTGGCAAATATTTTCTCCGCCTCAGGGTGACTGTAATCTCCCATCACAAACTCATGCACACCATCACCAACCTCAATCCTACTAGACCCCGGTGGCTTCACTAGTCCCTTCTTATTCATCAACTCCCTCACTTCCGCCTTGTCGCACCACTTCCCCGCCAACGCATAAACATTGCTAGCAAGTATGTAGCTTCCACTATCCCCACCACCGATGCCTTGCAGCGCAAGGCGCTTCATCAACCGCTCAGCTCTGTCAACATCCCCATGAACCTTGCAGGCCCATATCAAGGTCCTCCAAAGGACTGCATCAGGCTCAACAGGCATTGCAATGATGAAATCTTCAGCTTCCTTCAAACGCCCCGCTCTAGCAAGAAGGTCCACTAGGCAACCATAATGCTGAATTGTAGGTTTCATCCCATAACGCTTCAGCACATCACTGAAAAAGAAGTAACCTTCGCGAATCAAGCCTGCATTCCTACACGCAGATAAAACCGCGGTGACAGTCCTCTCATCAGGCCTCACTCCACACCTTTCCATGTCAACAAACATGTCAATAGCATCCGAGCATAGCCCGTGGCTGGCGAGGCCCGAAATCATCGCAGTCCAAACGAAAACGTCCTTGTCCACAACATCATCAAACACCTTCCGTGCACTCTCTATGCACCCACTTTTCGCATACATGTCAACAAGAGCAGTGGCAACATTAGACATAGAGTGAATTCCAATTCCAATTCCACATTCCTCTACAATGTCATGCACTCTCCTCCCCAAACTCAACGCTCCCGAATCCGCACACGCTCTCAAAACAGCCACAACCGTGGCCTCGTTCACCTCAACTCCACATTCCAACATTCGCCGAAACAATTCAATAGCCTCAACGGGTCGGTCGTTGTTTACAAGGCCGTCAATGATGGAGGTCCAGGAAACGACGTCTGGGTGGGGCATTTTATCGAACAGGGCCCGCGCGAGGCCCACATCGGCAAACTCGGAGTACATGTGGATGAGGGCGTTCTGGATATATTGATCTGGGCCGAACCCCAATTTGGTTACGAGGGCGTGGAGCTGTTTGCCCTGTGGAGCGAGTTTGGAGCGCGCGCAGCACTTGAGTAGGAAGGGAAAGGTGAAGTTGTCGGGTGCGGGAAGGGTGGGGGAGTGGAGCATCGAGAGGAAGAGGGAGAGGGCGTGGAAGTGATGGCTTGGGCTTGGGCTTTGGGAGAAGGCCCGAATGAGAGTGTTGTAGTAGTAAGAGTTAAGGGAGGGGTTGGAGTTGAGAAGAAGACGAGCGTAGTTGAGGTCGCCGGAGGGGGAGAGGGCGGCGAAGGTGAAGAGGTTGGAGAAGCTACGCTGCTTCTGCCGGATTCCTAATTTCACCACTTGCCCGTGGAGTTGCATAGCCTCCCTCATGCTTCCCACCTCCATTGCATTGCACCCACACCTTTCAATTTCTATACCTTTTTCTACTTGAGTTACTCACCAACTAATTATATATTTTAATTATATTATGTTATTATTAAAAGTAAATATATTTACAATGATATAATATAATTAAAATATACAATTAATTATCAATGTGAAAAATTTTTAGACTAATTATGTGTATAAGTAATTAACTCTTTTTCTTATCTATCAAAATTAGATTGTTCAAATACAAAATTAAAATAAGGAGAGGAAATTACAAAAAAAAAAAAAAAATTCAAGAAACGTTTTCTACTTTTTAAGTTAGAGTAAATTTGTTTTTTTCTCTAAAATTTAAAATTATTTTTTTAATTATATAGTTTGAAAAAAACTCTTTTAATTTATAGGTCTTACTAATAGTATAATTAATAATGATAAATTAAGATATTATATAACATCAAACAAATTTTATATGCTGTTTTAAATGATATACTTAATAATATATGAGTTTTATGTCACATATTTACTAAAAAAATTTGGAAAGAAAATTAAAATAAGATTTCTTAAGTTACAAAAATTAAAAAGTTAATTTTAAATTAAAAATTAAAAATAAATTAAAAAATAAAATAAAAAATTAGATTTAAAGCTCTACTAGAGTTTGTTATTCGTTCTATTCTTGTCTTCTCCATTTCTCCATTTTGAATTCCTTCTAGTCTATTTCTTTCTCTCTTATTAGTGTAAGTTGGAAATTTACTCAATAGATAAAAATAAATTATGGGCTTAATACAAACAAAGCTCTTTTTTTTATAATTTTTTTTAATCGGTGTTTGAAGTATTTATGAAACTTATTAATTTATGCAAGAAAATTTGATTACATTTTTTTACATTAGCATAATCATATTTTTTTTATTAAATATTTTGAATACAATAAAATATTTTATTATAAATATTCTTAGAATCAAATGAAATAAAAATTTTAACTAAAAAATAACTACCAAATTACTTTCTCTACTACTTGAATAATTACTTATATATTTCAAGGAATGAGAATTTGATCACACATTTAGTATTGGTTACTTCTTTCTATTTGTTCCTGCTAATCTTATAATTTTAAAATGTATACTTGATTAAATTTTTAAAACATTAACAAATAATGAAGTTTGTAGTATTCATTAATTTGACGGATAAATTAATGATATCATTATTTTTTTTATCAATTTATAAAATGTCATGGTGCAAAACTGAGTTTTATATTTGTGAGGACTAAAATACACTAAAGTTAAAAAAAATATAATTAGTATTAACTAATTTTTCTTCTCTCTTTATATATAAAAAGTGAAAAATATTATAACAAACTTTTCAAAATTATTTTTTACACCGCTGTTCTTTATTTTATGGATTAAATATTAAAATGCTTTATTGGACGCTCATCACAATTTGGTTTCTTTTAATTTAAAAAATTGACCGTGGTTTTCGAATTTTGATTGTTTAATTTTTTTTTTTGTTCGTCCCTGGAGTATACATAAGGGATGATTCGAACTCCTGACCTTACTTAAGCGTGGATCAACCCCTTCAATATGTAAAACCTAATTAATATTTTTTTATTCATTATCACTTGAACATGTAACGACCCGACTGGTCACTACACACAGCACAACACACCAGAACACCACACAGAAAGAACAAGTATATACATATAGTGTCTAGAATATACATATATATATATATATATATATATATA